TCACGGGTCTGCCCATCCTTCGAGATACCCGCCTCGAAACCTCCCGTCGTCGAGTCAATCACCAGCACAGCGCAGTCCGCCTGCGAAGTGCCCGTGATCATGTTCTTGATGAAGTCGCGATGGCCGGGCGCATCGATGACAGTCACGTAGTACTTCGTCGTCTCGAACTTCCACAAAGCGATGTCGATGGTGATTCCACGCTCGCGCTCCGCCTTCAGCTTGTCCAACACCCAAGCGTACTTGAAGGACCGCTTGTTCATCTCAGCCGCCTCCTTCTCGAACCTCTCGATCACACGCTTGTCAATGCCACCCAACTTGTAGATGAGATGGCCCGTGGTCGTCGACTTGCCGGAGTCGACATGGCCGATGACCACGATGTTGATATGTGACTTCTCCTTTCCCATGGCTGCCTACCGCACTTGCGACGGACGACAAAGAGAGCGAGGATATGGCGGACGCACCCGCGCAGCACCACACCACTGCACCGCGCTACGAAAACGAGTAGGGCCCGGGCGAAGAGGCCTCACACTGCGATCTTCTTTCCCACAGTAAGGACTACACAATTTCCGCTGCCGGTAATAAGGTCTCCACAAAGCGACCTCACCCGCGGCGGCGTGAGACAACGGAAGCGAACTCTCTTTTTGCCTTGTTTTTTCTCTTTTTTTTTCCTTTTTTTTCCTTTTTTTTCCCTTTTTTCCCTTTTTTTTCCTTTGTTTTTCCTTTGTTTTTCTCTTTTTTCTTCGCTTTCCTGAGGCTTGGACCCCACTGCCCCGCGGCCTGGAAAACTTAGGGCCCCTGACTATTTTCCAGACCCCAACGTTGATGGAAGGAGGTTGCCAAGACGGTGACGCGGCGTTTCAGCACGGTCGAATGTGGGGAAATTCACCGTAATGGCTTTCCATTCCTTTTCCAAACAGGCGTCCAGCCGGGTAGGCGGGGGGCATGTCCTCCTATGGCATCAGAGGGCCGGACGGCGTGGTCCACGCACTGCCCGTGGGGATTGTTTTTTGGACCTCGAGGCCGCCGTGGACATGTTCTTGTTTTTTTGTTTTTTTTTTTCCCGTCGCTCGGTTCTCCGGAGGGCCCGTCTATGTGGGGCAGATGTGGTCCCGTCTAGGTGTGCATGCGGAGCACCAGCCATGATTCCAATAGCTGGCCTTCGTCGTCGTCTCCCATGCAGAGGAGTTGGTACGTCCATGGTGCGATGCCATCGAGGCCTGCATGCGGGGAAGTCTTCGGTGCCATCCGCTGCTCTTTGGCCGTGACTTGCATTCAGAAGTTGCAAGCAATGTGGCGAGAGGTGTGCGCGGAAGGCATCGTGGAGGAGAACCTGCCCTATCAGTGTGTCGTCATGCCAGTGCGCAGACATTCAGACCGTTCATATGTTGTCGTGCGGTGGACGTGACACGAGTTGTTGCCCTCGATCCCTTCTCTTGCCATCTTCACTTCTTTATGTTCATTGCCAAGACGTGCGTGTGCCATTGCCTGAAAACAAGAACATGTCCACGGCGGCCTCGAGGTCCAAAAAACAATCCCCACGGGCAGTGCGTGGACCACGCCGTCCGGCCCTCGATCCCTCATCCGCACACTCGCCAGGTGGCAATTGTTGAACGGTGTTGTCGTACGTGTGAATGTGAGCGGTGCCATCGACCATGTCGTGTGGATGTTGTCGTCATACATAACCACTACTATGACGGTGGGCGGTGAAAATTCCCAACTTAGGCTGTCATCGGAGGCATCGTAGCAGTCATTGTCTTCCTTGCAACCACCTTCTTTTTGTCCTTCATTTTTTTATGCGCTTGTTTTCTTCTGCTGGCGTAGGTCAACATAACATCTAAGGGGTGTTGTTCATGAAAGGAGTATACAGGTTTTGGTAGTGGCTATCTTTATTGGTGCTTGCAGCGAAATGGAGTCTTGTCGGTGGAGGGCAAATCCTTGTACAGGCAATGATGGGGGTTCCAATCACAGGACAAACATGTGCAAGGATTTGCCTCAAACTCTTTGCCTTCACTGACAAGGGTGTAGTCCTTCACCGACCAATTGTTCGATAGGGGACGGGGGGCACCGATTCATGTTCCTCCAGCTTCTACGCCATCTTCCTCACATCAGCATGCAATAGGGTCACGTGGATGGTTCACTGTTCGACCATTCACACACAGCATGCTTATAGGGGCCCCGTACAAGGGGCAAAGTACGTATTCTTCACAAGTTGGAGGCAGGTATGACATACCTGCTCCACACATGATGTCGCTCGAGGAGGACAATGTTCCCCCTCGCATAGCGTCCACCACGTCACCTATCCTCGTTGCGATCGTCGTGCCTGTTGCCGACATCGCCTTCGCAAGAGTGTTGGCGGACTTATCAAGATCTTCGTAGTACGACCTTGTGAAGTCCTCCTTTGCCCTCCCCAACGTCAGCCCCCCGGTGTTTGTGTCGTCTATCCTAGCTTTGTCACTGTTTGTCCTCCGTGTCTTCTCGACACTCTCTTACTATTTTGTTGGTGTCAGTGTCATCCGACCTACTTTTCCCCGGTATAGGTTGTGTTAGACCGGTGTTCGCCGGTGTCCCACCTCCATACTGCGACAGGTCCTCCGACGCCAGTGTCTTATCACAAGTCATGGAGGGTCGATTTAGTTTCTACCCCATCGCATCCAACAACGGTTTTTCAAAGGCCAACGACACATGTTCCTCCTTCTGCTGCTCCATTGTCGTTTTTTCACACTTGTGGAGTATGATTTTCTCAACCTTAAGTATGTTGGGCCAATTCTCACAAAACAATCCTTTGTGCGACTGTGCTCAAAACCGTGAACCGCCACTGGCATTCGATCATATAACCATGCATATAGTTCCTTCATCTTCATGAACTGATGCCAACCTCCGGCGTTGACCATGAGGGCGTCGTCCTTACCCATCAGCCTCGCGAGAGTGATCCTCTCCTCTAGGGTCCAAGGGATGCTATGTTTCTTATTTTTTAGCCTCGCCATGAGGGCGTCTATTACCAGTGTTGCTACCTTGGCGCTTATTCAAATTTTGGCCTTGATCGGAGTGTTGCGTAGACTCTCTTTTGTTCTGCCCATTGTCGAAATTTGGCGAGGAAGTGCTATCACCATCTGTGTCACCATTGTCCTTCTCAACATATTCACAAGCATCGTCGTCATCGTCGGTAAGGGCATGATCACCTTGCAAGCCAAAAGGTTTGAAAACACCGGTATAGATGGGTCATCCCTCATCCATGTCCTCTCCTTCGACATTCAACATTTAAGGCGAGGGATCGATAGGTGTGCGTCTGTCGTGTGTCAACAACCGGAAAGACATTGCACCATGCAACAACTGTGTAGTTTGCTCGCTTTCTGGGAAGTACAACCAATCAATCTTCATTTCATTGCCTCTATCGACATTGTGGTGGGTGGGTATACGTACGTCTTCTCCCTGTACACAAACCACCAGTTGCAAGCAGGTCACGTCCCGTTGTGCTGCAACGAGAGGTGTGCATGCGAAGACTATAGTCGAATGCACGAGAGAGAGAGAAAGAGTACATTGAGAAAGAGAAAACCTTGAAAAGGAGAGAGATAATATCTTAAGAGAGGGAGAGAGAGTACCTTAAAAGAGGGAAAAAAAAAAAAGAATACCTTGAAAGAAATAGAGAAAGACCGTAACAGAGCAAGAGAATACCTTGAGAGAGAAAGAGAGAGACAGAGAAATAATACCTTGAGAGGGGGAAAGAAAAAAAAATATTAGACGTCACAATGGTGGTCTGGGAGCAAGTCGACAACAAGGAGGTCGTCGTGTAGGAAACACGATTGGAACGGGGAACGAAGCGTCATCGTGACATGGGGTGGGGCCCCACTGTCCGCACAGACGAGACACACATCTATTATACGTTTGTGAATGATCTGCTTGTGATGAGGATTGTGGCAGGACTCGGGTATGACTGGACAAGAACCTCGCGGAGGTAAAGTTCTTCAGGACTAAATTATCACATATTGTCCCAACACATAGTAATTGTCGAACCCCGATGAGCACTTGTCGACGATGTTAGGCAACATGTCCAACAAAAAGACTAGGAAATTTTCATCTTGGTTTATTTTGCTTGACAAGGGAGGGGATATGAAAAAAATGTCAACTTTGTAAATACACTCTATTTCCAATGCATGAGTGTTGAGACTCCGTTCCCATAAAAAATAAAAATAAAAAATATCACAAAAGTATGAAAGCGATGCAAAAATAAAATTCAACATATGTTCTCTTCTATGCGGTGGTAGTGCCAGCATGCATTGGAACATGTCCAATTTTTTGACAATGAACATATTCGTGGAACCATTTTGCCATATGCCCAGGTTGTGAGTATCGTAAATATGTTGTTTGTGCTACCATGGCAGATCAACTGTTGTGGATCATTGGATGGGGTCTTCGAGGTGTTATCTTTTGAAGGTGTGAGTTATGCACCCGAAATCGTCAAAACGGAGTAAGGTCTGTCAGGAAAAGAAAACACCCAATGAAGGTGGTTTCCCACACTTCATTATAACAATCATGTCCAGAGTCATAAACATGGAAGTTAGTGTGCGAATGACATAAATATGAAAACCGACTACATTCCAAATACCCCGACGGAGATTTGTGGATACGCATTAGCGGGAGTAGGCTAAGAGCAACGATCGCCGCTATGTGAAGGATGCGTTGCTAGGGTTCACGGTGTGGCTTGAGGCGAGGCATGATTATCATTGGTTGAATGCGGTCCTCACTTGTTATGGCACTATATTAATCTTATTTTCAAACCGTCATTGTCATCATGTAATAACAATTCATCCCGTGAACAAAAAACATGCACTGCATGCACAATTTTGAGAACAGGGGTGAGAGGTTGCTAGCGTGTTTGGCCTACACTCACATGTCCATGTTGAGAATGGTCAATAGTTTGCACAACCCGTGCCACTAGGATTCCTCCTATTTCGATTTTATAATTCCATGACCCCCCAATTGTTTTTCGCATTTGTCCGTGCGATGTCGAAGTGTGGTCGACATGATGTGCGTTGTGTTTGTGGTCGGCATGATACCCCCCCCCCCTTTAGTCCACGACAGGATGTATATTCCCGCGTGTCTTCCAATGGTTTGTCCTCATTTATTTTTTTATAATGCCTGTTGCGAAGAGCGATGACAAGTCTTACAAAGTCTAACACAATTTTTTATTTTTTATTTTTTTGTCGAGCCAAGATTATATGGTCACATAGAGCCTTTTTTTTTTTGCGCCCTCCTTTTTCTTATTTTAGTATCCGAGACTTTTTGTTTTTTGCCTCCTCCTCACCCCCCCTTACCCCCCTTGCCCCCCCCCCAACCCCAACCCGTCATATACGACCGTTGCCATTTTTGTTCTGGTTCTGTGCCAGTAAGGTACCTCTTCTGACCTGTCATTTTTTTTTTTGTTGTCATGTGGTGCCTCTAGTGATGTTTTGTTCACCTGCTATACCACAGGTACCTTTTTCCCAAGGCCTGCACTTGGGGAGCCTAGGTTGAGCCTCAATTTGTTTTTTGCTTATCGGTACCACCTGATTGTCTTCACACCACTTTTACCTAAATGTTGTTAACGTCCCCTTTGTTGTTTTTCCTTGTGTTTATATACACCCTTTTAACTGGCATTTCGTTAAAACTGATATTTTTTTCTAAATTTACGAAATTGATCGTACCAAAAATAACTTTTTTAATGTTTTTTTGTCCCCATGACGTCGGATGATCGGATCATCGGGTGTCCTGGCGACCCTCGATGATCTGACCATAGGATGTATGTTAACGGTACTTAACGTTGAGGTACATCAGATAGACAAAGTGAGATCACCACTTTCTCACCCAATGAGCAATGAAATTTTGACTAAGTCCACTTTCGTGAATTAAAAAAAAAAATGTCAGTTTTAACGAAATGTCATCTTTTTCATTTTCTCCATCTCATTTGTGCTTTGTGTCCCCATTATTACCTCCTTGTGCTTACAGACTTTACGTGACTGCGACCTTTAGACACGCTAAAACATCCGCTAAAGCATTTTCGAAGACCGAAGTTGAGAGAGAGAGAGAGAGTTTTTGTAGCGAGGAGAGCAACAACTTTCAAAGGTATGGTGGGGGTCTCTCCATCTGTATCGCCTCCCCCCTCATCTTTTTTTTTTTTTTTTTTTTTTTTTTTCAGGTTGTTAGTGAGACCAGGGTGTTTGGTACCTATCCTTGTGGTAGGGCCGCAACGTCCCTTCAAAGGGTTCCCTCCCCTTCTCCCATACCATTTTTTTTATTATTTTTCTTTCCTTTTTTTCTTCATTTTTTTTTCCAATTATTTCTTAGTTTAAAAAAAAAAAAAAAAGCAGGGGAAAAGGCAAGGCAATCGACGCCCTG